GAACTTTCTGGAACTGGTCTGAATTTTACTCCATGGCTTGGATAAACGAAATCCACCTGTGGGAATTGAGCTTTGAGGGCCACATAATCAGTCCTCACTCTAAGCAGTGTGAGCAGTGCTTCTCTGCTCAATACAGGGAAGGGACACGCATGATAGGGCTTCTGCACCCTGAAACCTACTTCAGTCCTAGGGACGTTTGAGAAACCCAACACTAGCCTCCTACCACAAGAGCCACTCCAAAAATCAACTTGAACACAGATTTCCTACCTTTGCTCTCAAAGAGCCCACGGGGGAAAAGCTGTCCCACAAGGGATCCAGAGGCTCCCATGAGCTACTTGCAGCTCAGAGGAAGAGCCTCTGCCTTCTTCTAAATACAGATGTCTGCACTCTGCTGGGCTGCCAGACGCCATCCCCAAATAGGAACAAACGAAAACCACAGAAGCCAGAGCCCCTTCTCATGAAACCCCGAATACTTGCATCTTGGTATTAACCCAGATACTCCAATATTTGAAAGAAAATTTTAAAAACAAAACAAAAACAGTTCCACAAATTCCACCAAGATCTGCAGACTGCATTTTTAATTAGCAGTGCAGTTTGGTTGAGGGACGAGTTGCTTTAGTTCCATCACTTTGAGCAAGCTAGGTAACTTGCTCCAAGCAAGGTCTTTTTTCATTCATAAAGTTAGGGATGGTAACACTATTGACTCATGAGAATGAAACAAGTTAAACCAGGCAGACACTCGTTCTAATGCCTGGCACAGAAGTTAGAGCTCAGAAGTGTTAGCTATTATTATGCCTCACCTACTGCCTTATCTCTTATGCTTACAAGAAAGGTTAATGGGCATGCATAAAGTTACAAATTTCAAATTTCATGCATATTCCATTATTACTTATTTTACCACCTGGAAAAGCTCAAAATATTTAATTCTGCCCCAATTTTCTAGATGCGACAGTCAGCTCAAAGAATCCAAACCCCATGATAGGCTGTACCACAACCCGGACAAAGATTCGGCGCGTGTGTATAAACACGGGTGCGCTCTGCAGTGTGTGGGCTTGCAACACATGAGCTGTGAAGCCCCAAAAGCTGACTTCAGCGTGCCCATCCTCGCTCAGCTGATCTCAGTGGAGACGCTGACAACCGAGAAAGTACAGCAAGCAATCTTCTCCAGAAAGGAAGTAAAATGAGGAAATAACCCCAGGGGGAAAGAGTGATGACACAACCCACCTCCTAGCCACTAGGATCACGCTTCAATAAAGCAAGGGGGAGGATTACACTGTGAAAAGGACCCTTGTAAGTTCTGAATTCCTTCCATTTTTCTAAAAATCTTACAAGCGGACCTAGGAATAAAGGCAGGAGCAAGAGTGCAGTGAAGACATTAGCATATCATCCAGTCTTCAGTCTCTCCACTTCTCCTCAGTAAAATCTTCCCTTTGGAGGTGGCCCAGATTCCCTGGAGGCCGCACGGGGCTTTAAGGACACTTGCAAAGCGACTCAGTATCTCTGCCTAAGTCCAACGTCATGTTTCCACATTACAGAATATGATCCAGCTATTTAAAAATACTGTTTACAAAGGGTTTGCCATAACATTTTAATACAGGCATTTCCCCCTCATTAACTAAAGGAAAAAAAATGGGTGCAGAATTGGATAGAGTCTGACCTCAACTGTGCAAAAAAAAAAAAAAAAAATCTAAAATGCTATCATCAGTTGCCTCTACATAACAGAACTAGGGGTGGGGTTTTTTCTGTTTTCTCCTCACCCCGTTACTTTGTAACTTTCTCTAGGAACATATATTACTTTCGTGATAAGAAAAAATTATTTAAATAACCTGAGGTTTAAAACTGCACCAAACTATGCTAAAATTCTGTGAGGTTTTCAGAGACTTAAGTCAGAGTGTGAGTGAGTGTGTGTGAGTGTGTGTGTGTGTGTGTAGTGGTAAAAACAAAACAAAACAAAACAAAAAACACAGCAATTGGCCCCCAACTGCTGTTTCCTGCCCCTCATCCAACCAGGCATATACTACAGTGCCTGGCGTCTGTCAAAATGCTGCCAACTCTTGATCACTGGGAAACTGATGAGTCAGGCTGTGGGTGATCCAAGGCTTCTTTCTTCTCCTTCTCCCACAGGCTGCCTTGGGTTGGGTTTTGTTTTTCGTTGCTCATTAGTACCTCCTCTCTGTGGCTTAAGAAGCCAAGCTTGTGTCTATCAATGTTCGTCTTTTCTAACAGTTCTGGTGACAAGTCTGGCAAGCGAGAAGCTTGAAGTGTTTGAATAAAGGGATTCGGGGATTATCTGTGCCTTCCCAATCATCGACACAATCCTGGGGCTTGGGACTCTGGGTAATTTCACAGGCTGCCTCCAAGAATCTGCACACAGGATACATGGGGAAGTCGGGAATTACTGGGCTGGTCTGGGGAGCCTGGTGGGGCCAAGTCAGTTCAGATTTGTCCCTCACAACTTCCTCCTGAGGGAAGGGACCTTCCTGAGTGAAGCCGGGAGCAGGGCTTAACTCCCAGGAAGTTTTCATGCCATTCAGGTATCCGTTCAGTCAGATGGTCTGCCTCCTTCTAGAGCTGGGATTCTTCCCGGAGCTTCTAAAAACCCTGATTGACAGCCTAGGAGCATGGGTTCCACCGCCACCGCCCCTCCATGGATCCCTATCAACATGCTTCCCATTCTCCCCAGGGAACCCTCAGAGAGTGGTTGGGGCAGAGATGACAAACTCAGTGTAGCTCGGGGGATATTAGTGCAGACTCTGGAGTCACACCAGGTCCAAATCTCTGCTCTGCCCTGTGTACCTTGGGCAAAACATCCGTGTTCTCTGGGCCTCCCTTCCCTTATCGGTAAAACGGGCCTAGTCTATAACTACCTCACGGCGCTGTGGATTGGACGGAATTAGCTAGAACACGTAGAGTGACAGGCACAAGGGAAACAATGCACAAATGTCAGCAGTCACAAAATAAACCCCAAAACCAACCTGCCCATGTTATCTGGATCCTAAAACCAAGGCCGCAGGGACAGCTTTGGAAGGCGTACCCCACACAGACGCTGAGGAAGGCCACGCTGCAGTCAGCTACCTCTTTCTCGGCAGCTTGAGGGCCCCAGCCCTCTGGCGCCACAAACCGTCACTGCAAACTGACCAGCTCCACACCAACTCCTGGGCGGGGCGAGCCAACAGGACAGGCGAAACCAGGCCGTCCCCCGGGGAACGATCGACAGCCAAGGGTTCCTTCACCTCCAATTTACCATGTAGTCATTTGGTTGGCTCAGCTTTGGGGAAACCGTGTTCTTGTCACAAAACTCATCAGAAATATCCTCAATCTGAAGAGATAATTGGCGAGGAGGCCCGGGAAGGATTGATGGCCACTTCCTTGGTCAGGTGAAATGGGACCAATCTGCCTGAGCCACGGATGTCACCGCATGGCTCCAAACAACTTGTGTAGAATGACTGATGGGTGTTTACCTTTCCCCAGGAAATGAGGCTAACGCAACAGGAAAGATGATCAACGTATATTTTAAAAGATTGTGTATACAAACAAACTCCCTCCCACATGTTACTGGGTTTCCTCCAAAGAAAACAGATTAAATCAAACGGCCTACCAGGCACGGAGCGTTTATTAGGCTGTGGGGATTCAGGACCCCCTTCTCGAGAAGCTTAAAAAATCAAGTTGGGGAGGTAAGACAAACATGAGTGAAAAGGTTGGGCATCAAAACAAGACATTTGTAATGAGCCAAAAGAATGAGATGGCTGGTGAGTATTTCAGAGGAGGGGAAAACATGATCACTCTGGGCTTCAGAGGCCTCAAAGACGAGGGGGAGCATGAGCTGAGCCAAAGCATAGGTATGTAGATTCAGTAGAGGAAAAAAAGCCATCCCGGAAGGGGGCACAGGGTCAACAAAGGTGGGGGGGACCGGACTACACAAGGCACATCAGGGGGACAAGCAAATAGGTTTTGGCTAGAGTGGGGGCTAAGTGCACGGAAGATGGAATTACAGACCTTCAGGAGAGAAAGGGGTTTTCTGGGTTGTCTAGCATAATCTCCTTTTACAGATGAGGACAGGGAAGCTCAGAGAGGTTAGGCGATTCACCTACAGTCACCCAGCTAGTTGTCGATGGGAGATCAGTTGAGAAATCAAATCTATTTGTACTCAATTTAGAATCTGAGCTGACAGTAAATCAACTGGCCACCAGAAGGCAGAGGAGCATCAGCCTAAGGTGACAGAAACCGTGCCGTTCCCAGCCACGCATGTTGATGGAGGCCACAGGAGGTGTTCAATAAACGCTTGCTGATGAAATTGAGAGGCTGGCTGCTCTATCACTTCAGACAAGTCATTAGGTATCCCTGAGTTTATTTTCTCCCCCTCCCACTGCCTCCCCGCCCCCCAGTGAATAAAAATCCCAACTTGACCAGTGGTATACCCATACAGTGGGGAAAAAATAGTCGTCCGAGATAAAAGTCAGGGGGAGTCTCAGAGGATTTCGGGTCTCTAACCTCTCCATGGTGTGGGCGCAAAAGGCAGAAAACAAAACCCCTCCATGGGTGGCAAGTAGGCTGGAGAGAAGGAACACCTGTTTTTTTTCTACTTTTCAAGCCTTATGATCCCTCATCTGTTTCAAGTTGTGAGAAATCAGGTGCATTGTACATTTCCATTACAAGGGAGATATGAACCGAAAGGTTAAATGTCTTAAGAAGGTGGTCTGAGGGAGGGGGAGGGCCAGACCCCCATTTACCTCCCTGAGGCAGCTCATGAGTAAGGGAGGGAGGATAACTTGCACGCTCCTGGGAAGCAAGACGGCTGGAGTTTCATTACACAGTTAGGGAGGCCATCACATACAGATTTCCAGAAACCTCTTTGTGGTCATTTCTGAGGGTCTCTGAGCAGTTCACAAAGCAGTTGGTATGATCTCGCGTATAACCCAGAAACAATAAAGGAAATAAATTTAAAAGCACAAAATGGATCACTATGAAAACTGACATTGAAGAAGGCACAGGAAACCAACCTTAAGTAACTGGCCATCTCCAGTCCCCAAGAACAAAACAGTCCTGTTCATTACCACGGTGCCATAAACGGATGTCAGGTCGGAATGGATCAAGGTAGATGAGGCGATTGGTTGGACTCTCTCAGGTTGCTCCCCTTCTTTCTGAACATGCACACAAACGCACAAATGAAAAAAAGATCATTTTTAACAACAGTAATCGCCATGCCCACCTAGGAAGGATCCTCCTTGAGCCCCAAAATACATTTTCTTAGACAAGATCCCGAGGAGCAACCGCTTAGCGCCTTTATCTGCAGGATCACCACGCTTGCCCGACCCATGAAAAGCCATTTGTTTACTATGTATTAACATGTATTGATTGCCAGCAGTGAGCTAGCCATCCATTTAACACTCCCCCAGCCGATATATGAAACCGAGTTCCACTTTATTGCCAAGAAAGAGCCCACTGCTGAATTGGGAGGGAGACAATCTCATGCTTGACGGTTTGCACCATCCTGCTGCAAATTATTTTAGCTAGGGATTGGCTCCTGTGAGGTCAAACAAGCCACTTCCCAAGATGTGAGGCAGACCGTCCTATTGGGTGTGATGGCAGAAAGGAGGGACTGTGGATTTACCAGACTGATGCAATGCAAAGCCCAAAGACAGGGTAATTAATTCAAAGGTAAAAAGGGAAAGATATAGTCATGGCTGGTGGGTTAGGACAGAACAACAGAGCTAAAGAGGAACTAAGCAGGAAGGCTGGACGTGGTGCTAATGCTCTTGAAGAAGAAACATAAAGCTCAACTTCCAACCCAAAAGGCATTTCAATGGTCGGCAGTATTGAGCACAGATAATCACATGCTTGCTCCCCATCATTAGATAAAGCCCCTCTGAAACCCAGGGCAGAGTGAGTGTCGAACAAAATGTCTTGGTCTTTCTTGGTTCAAGGCATGAAGAGCTTCACGCTGCTTCCCGCCTTCAACGACAGGAAACTGAGTTTGTTACACAAATCTCTGGAAGATACGGAGCTAGAGCGAGCCATTACTGTCTGCAGCTACTCAGTACAGTGTGATAGCATACTTGATCTGCCAGAGCTCAGTTCCCAATTGTACTCAGGTTTCCAAACTCACATTTAAGTCTTAGCCAATGGGACAGCTGGTAAACTCCAGTAAGCCTCACTGGAACTCTTAAAATTGTCCCGTTTGGGGAGAGGGGAGGTGTGCAGGGGGAGGCTAAGACTTATTAACTTCATTATATTATTGCTGACAGTGTTTATGTCTTTCAATTTATGTCTTATTAAACATTCATTATTTTTAAACCCACCAAGTTTCATTAACATCTCAAGTAAATGGATTCATGGACTAAATTGATTTCTGAAGCCTTTAAAGTGCCGTCTGTATTTCTTTGTTGAGGTTGCGCTGGAAAGAAAAGATAAGCTAGCAAGGATTTCTCCAATGCTGTGATCACTTTTCAAGGGAAAGATGTCGTAACCTAAGAGAAAGTGACTTATTTGCATAAAATATTCCATAGTGAACTCAGTTTAAGAAGATTTTTGGAAAGCCCACTAGAGACTTTTTTTTCCTGTTAGATACTTCTCACGCAGTCGGGGAAAATGAGGAACTGTCCTGTTAAAATTGAAGTTAAGAAGAAAAAATCTGGGGCGCCTGGGTGGCTCAGTCGTTAAGTGTCTGCCTTCGGCTCAGGTCATGATCCCAGGGTCCTGGGATCGAGCCCCAC